CTGGGCTCGCCCAGGGCTCTGGTGCTGACCCGCCGCGGACCCTGAGCCACCCCGAGTGCGGGTCCCGTCCCTGGGGGGTTTCTGGGATCCGCCGGCCCCACCCAACCAGCCTCGGGCTGTGGATCCACCACTCCAGCCCCCGCGGGCGCTTCTGGGGCATTTGGCAGCATCTCCACTGGTGTGGGAGAAACTTGGGCGTCCCCCTGCGCCGGGGAGCATAACGGGGCCGGGATCGCTTTGCTCTGGGGGAAACGGCGACCAAAACGCATCCAGGGACCTGCCCAACGCTGCCCGGCGGGTCCACGCCGGCGGTGTGAAACCTCTGTTCTTTGCCTGTGCCGTGACCCTGGGCTCTGTGAGAAACGCTTCTCAATTGAATGTCTTGTTGTAAATTGCAGCTCTAATTGGTTTAGCAGAGTTTAATTAGCCTGAACTGATGAGAGAGGTGAGATTCCCTCCTTAAAGGAGCCCGGCAGCTCAGGAGGAGAATGAGGCAGCCAGGGTTTGGGGGGGAGGATGGTTGGCTCTTGAACCTCAGCCTGAAATCTTGCCGCAGCGGGACCAGCACAAAGCCGGCCCAGACGCAAAGGTCAGCTCAGAGGCTCCATTCACTGCGCCTGCAAAGAGCCGCTTTGTCCCTGCCGCCCCCAGCCCGGCCCGGCCCGTGGGCTCCCCGGCTCTCCCCGCCTGCCGTGGCCGGGCTGGTTTCCCGGCAGTTTCCAGCCTGGCCCCTCTCCCCCCAGACTCCGCGGGTGCTGCTGGGGCTCAGTTGCCGCCCGTGGGAGTGGGGGGAGCGGGGGGAGCATCACCCGCCTGCAGCAGACTGGTTGGTGGAGTTTTGCTCCCAGCTTTGCTTGAGAACCAGCCTTGGCCCCTGCCTGAGGCGTGACCGCAGGCAAGTCGCTTTCCTGGCGCTTCCCAGGGCTGCGGGGGCCGAAGCCGGGGCAGGGGGTGAGTGGAGCCCCCAACACGGTTTTAGGGGGCGCGGGGCAGCCTCGGCGGGGCTCCGAGCCCACCGGCACCGTCCATCTATCGAACTACGCCGGCTCGGGGGAAGGAGCCCGAGCCGCTTCCCTCCTGGCCTCCAGGCCCCTCCTGCCCCACGTCAGGCGGAGCGGGAGCCCGCTGCTCCCTTCCAGATGCTGCTCCAGAGTGAGGTCCGACCCCTTCCCTGCCAGAGCCAGCCGGTTGTGCAATGCCGCTCACAGCCAGGGAAAATCCCTCCCTGGCCTCCGCAAGCTCCTCTTGCATCTTGGAGCATGTGAGCGAGTGCATCACCACCCGCTCGCTCATCGACATCCAGCTCGGGGATTTGGCTCCCCAGCCCTCTGCCCTTACATGGGCAATCGCTCCGAGGCCGGCAGAGCGAGCCAGGGGTCACGCC